CTTCGATGCCAATGGCGATTACTACTTGTCCGGTCTCATTTCCTCCCTATATCGTGATTTAAACACCCCAAATGTCCTGTGAAATATGTCTTATGCTTAACTGGGAGCAAGACCTTGGCACAAATCTTGAAGCTTCTGATTGGTCTCTCATTTGGACTGAAGTGTCGAAAAGCTCGTATAATGTTGTAGCTTTAGAAAATTTGTTAAAAGTCCTTATGAGGTGGTATATGATGCCAGATAGGGTTTCTAAATTTGCCCCCGCGGTATCTCCTAATTCCTTCAGAGGAAGCTCGTCCTATTGCACTATGTTGCTCATTTGGTGGGAATGCCCCACAGTACAAAAGTTATGAATCCAAATTAATAATCTTATCAGGTCTATTTTGCATTGTAAGTTGCCACGTAGTCCGTGGGAGGCCCTACTGTATAGAAAGACAGCCACTCTTACCAAATCTGAGGGTGCGCTGGCTCATCCCATTGTTTTAGCTACCAGTCAAACTATTGCTAAAGCTTGGCGACAGCTTGCTTTAAACTTTTTTTCATGAAGTCAAGCAAAGATTTACGGGTACCATGATTAATGAGAAACAAACTGCTATTCTTCATGACACCTATAAAAAGTACCTCAAAGTTTAGTCTCTCTGGGTGGAGCATCTTCGGGGTATTGGATTTGATCGTGATTTCTTACATGTGTGATGGGCCTGTCACCCTCTGGAGTTCTCTCCCCTTCCCAGCAGTACCTTTTCTGAGCTCTTCCACTTTCTTTTTTCATTCTCCTTTCCTTTTTTTTCTTTTATTTTCTGTTCCATTTTGTGGTTACCTTTCATTCTTTTTCCTATGTTCACTACCATGTCTGTTTTGTATTAATGGTCCACCACTCGTCCTACTGGATTAAATAGTTTTGGGATGGTTTGCTGGATCCAAGCTTGGTGGAATTACCCTCCACGCTTTTAAGTTAGAGATACATGGTTTGTATAAATGGTTGCCATTCCTTTTCATGTTTGTTTTGTGATATTTTGGTTCGATCTGAGTCCTGCTCTGTTTCTCTTTTCAGTGGTGCCTTTAGTCTCTTTGTGGTTCTTGTTTATATCTTGAAAATCTAATAAAATGTTTAAAAAAAAAAAAAAAAGCCTGGTCTCGTCAGTTTTCTGTGTTCTCTGCTTGTGCTGTCATCTTCTCAGTTACTTTGTTTCCAGCTATCTCAGAGCACTACAGAACACCTCTGCCCTAATATATTATAGAGAAGAGATGGGCAGATGTTTGTAGCCCTGTCTTTAACGTACGATACCGCGCAATGCACCTACTGTGTGTTACATGATTTGAATCACACCCCAGATGCACCTCGACCACGCCGCAATGAGCGTTACCACAATACCACACATTATTATTATTATTACATAGTATTTATATAGCGCCAACAGTTTGTGCAGCGCTTTACAATATAAGGAAGACATTACAGTTCCAATACAATTCAAGACAAGATGGTAAGGAGGGCCCTGCCCCTGAGGGCTTACAATCTAAAAGAGGAGGGGGAAATGATACATGAGGTAGCTGTGGTAGCTGTGGGAATGAATTATGTGAGAATGTGAAGGTTCAGTGGTTAGGTTAGTGCATGTTTGAGTGGTGTGTATGATAGTGGGTATTTCTGAGGAGAGGAAGTAGGGTAGCCAGGCAGAGAAGTCATCTAGAAAGCGAGATACTGGTCCTGGTGGCCGGTATATAACAGCAATCCTCAGTGAAATTGGAGAGAATAGGCGAATGCAGTGAGTTTCAAAAGAGGAGAGGGATAGAGAGGGAGGTGAAGGCAGAATTTGAAAAGTGCTTTGCGGGGATAGGACGATTCCCACTCCACCTCCTTTCCGTCATTGCGGTGTCAATGGTTGAAGGAAGTAGTGCATGCACTATTTTTTTTTTCAGCCACAACACAATGCCTGGTACTGCAGTACTGTGTGTTGCGGAGCCATTGTGGCCAGGTGGTGCTTTTGGGATGTTATTCAAATGAATGGCAATGCACCTAACACACAGTGGGTGCGTTGCACTGTTGTGTGCGTTCATCACACAGAACCATGCGATTTAACACGCCGCATTGGTTTGAACGGGCCGTGAAACAGGAATTCTGACTGTATTCTGATTGATTCCAGGTCAGTGACAAAAAATATGAAGATGGGGACAGTGAGTATTTTCAATAGGAAGTTTGCATTGGAAGCCCCCGTATTTCTTGTATGACAGGTTTCCAGACATTATGTTCCCCTTTGCCCACTCTGGGTGGAGCGCAGCTGGCTCCTATTGCTGCCCCCTCTGCCATTCAGAAGGCTGTTGTACAGGGAAGATATCAGGACATATTTAGGTATTTACATTATGTGCAATTCATAATACAATTATTGATTATTGATGAACACATACATGTGTTAAAGTGTATGCAAAGGGATTCTTTTTTTAGGTTTGCAAAGAGTAGGGGAGGTTAGACTGTCTGTGAAGGTCTCATTGTTGTTTATCTCCACTGAGTGATTTACCATCCTATTTGGAAGCCATTGTCACCGGAACAAGTAAAAGGAAATCTAAAATTTGTCACCAGAGCACAAGGCAGAGGTAAAATCATCCACTGGGAAAATGTTCTGGTGACAACTATCTAAGACAGGAGATAGCTTCTCATTTTCCGTTTTGCATCTCTAGGGCAGGAAGTGAAATATCCTCAGCATGATACATAAGGCAAAAAATAACCTTTTTTTACACTGTTCCCCACTCTAAACAAAACAAGAAAAGTTTTGCTTATACATAAACTTTGTTTTTAATCTGTCTTAAAGTACATGCATGTGCAAAAATAAATACGGTAAATATTCCGTACATCTCTGCAATACCTTCTGTTTTCCATATGTTTTATCCATTTAAAAATGCTGCAAAAAACAGAAAAATGAACCTGTTGCTCTAAGCTAGCACAATACCTCTGCTGCACTGAGGGCCCAGTCACACCATAAAGAGTGCGTTCCAGAGCGTTCGGCCTCTGGAACGCAACCCGGCCGGCTCACTTTGTTTTGGGGTGCCTGCATTCTGGTCCAGTACAATCTGCAAAAAAATGCTGCATGCATTACGTTTTGTAGTTCGCCCAGGACCAGAACGCAGGCACTAATGTTACACGCGCTCGGGTGCCGACGATCACACTGCGGGTGGGGGGCGTGGCTGCGGTGCCATTGACTTCAATGCATTGCCGCGCCCCCAATTGCCCCCAAACAAAGTGAGCGGTTTGGGTTGCGTTCCAGTGGCCGAACGCACTCTTTATGGTGTGGCTGGGCCCTGAGATTGTTGAAATCCCTATCCAGTTCTTTCTGGCTAGACAAGATATCGCTCCCTCTCTTAATCTCCATTATATAAGAAGGAGGCGTTCTGTTGTCTAGCAGGGGAGAACTCAGGCAGGGCTGACAACGCTGTTTTGAATTTCAATGTAGGAGTGGCAAAGTTGTCAGCTTAAAGAGGAAGTGAGGAGCAGAGGCAATTTCTGGTGGGATCAACTGGTATTTTTCTGTACCTGCAGCATTTTTAGAGAGACAAATAATGGAAAAATGTGCAAGTACCGGTTATATACTCAAAGTTCAGCTTTAAGCACTAATTGTAGGCAAAAATGTACATAGCTATGCTCTATGGTTATCATTCATATTTACCCCATTTGTGACTTGCTGTCCAGCCCAAGCACACAAGAAGTAACAGCTGTCCCTCGCATGTGTTTGTCTCACTAGATTCAAATGACAACTTGGATAAAAAGCTGAGGAAAAGCAAAGAAACGTTTCACTACTTTACAAAAACTGGGAAAAAGAGGAGCATGTGCCCAAAACAATTCAGTTTAATCCCCTGTTCTCACCTGTGCGTATTTGAAGCGCTGCGGTCATTGCGCAACAATGCACGACAAAAGGAATCCCAATATTTTTAATGGGGCTCGTTCATACCTATTCATTTCACTGCAGTGTGACTTAGAAAGAGGTACAGGAGCATATTTTGGTGCTAGTTTGTTTTTAGCTCCATAGACTTCAATAGAAGCTCATGAAAAACGCATGTAACATTTTTTTAATGCATGACGATAAGCCCTCACCCCCTAGCAACCTATTATTTGATTACTCCATCATTTGGCTTATTAAAAAATGCATAACGCATTACAAATGCATTACATCATGAAAATGTGTAACAAATGCACAAGTGTAAACAGAGACTGGTCTGGTGCACGTTCCGTTTTAGCGCTTGCCTGGTGCGTTTACTTTTTATAACTTTTTATTGGCAGTATACAAAGTGTACACTCCATCCAGGTCTCTGCAGCACAGTGTGACCTCTGCTACCATCCCGAACACTGTGGGAAAATGCAGCATTTTGTTCATTTTTCTGCACCGCACATCAGACCAGCGTTGTAGTGTGCATGGGCACATATAAAACAATTGTTTTCTGTATGCCCTTGCAAGGACTGGCGTCGATCCAGTGCAGAAAACCGGTAGTCACCACAGCCAGTGTGAACGAGCCCTTATTTGAAGTGAAGCAAGAATTACTGTAACAACATTTCCTGCTTTTGCTTCAACTGTAAAATGGATTCTTTTGGATCTTCTAGCGTTATATAACTTCCATGAAAGCTTTAGGACTGTTGATATTATTTCAGGTTCTAATACTGTGTTGTCACTTCTGCTTTATGTGTTTGTTTTGATAGCAGCGTAGAAATGTTTTTATTTCTTCTATCTTACAGCCGATGTCATTTCCATGCACCCAGCCCTGGCTGTTTATATGACACACCTCTGACTGTGGCAGTTTGATGGGCTGATCTCTGGCAACATCAATGCTCACTGCTCGAGTTGTTAGCTCTGGAGCATCCAGCTCTTAACCATCACATTAAAGAAATGCTGAAGATGCAGCATTGCTCACTGATCTCCTTTCCTGTAATCCATTCATGTCACAGCAAGCAACACCCCACCCTCTGCAAATGATGATAAAATAAGGAAACTCTCTGTGTAATGTTATGGCAATGCAGAGCTGCACTTCTGAAGGTGCTTCTCCTCTCCAGACAGTGTCTGAGAAGAGGAGGAGCTTTCTCCCATACAGCTTGCATGCCATTGGCCAGACTTGCAGAACTTTCCTCTTTTCATCCTGACTTTTTTTTTTTTTTCCTTTTTGGAGAAGTTGACTTCTCTGCTTCTGCTGAGTGCACGTCAGCTGTAATCTGTTCTCCAGTGGCTCACACTGACACCATGAGCTCAGAGTCAGATGAATCAAAAGATGGTATGTTTATCTGCTTCTTATTTTCTCAATGTTCTGCTCTCAACTCTTCACACACGCTCAGGCACATGAAAGCTGAATGTGAAGTTTGCTGTGGTTTTGCTTGTCAGCCATTATGTCTAGAGATCTGGCAGAACCATCTGAAGACAGTTGTGTAGATTTCCTGGAAGGAGAACAGAAGTAGGGGCACGCTTTTCTTTTTTTCTTGGTGGGTTATTTTAGGCCAGAAAGCCTCATGGTACATTAGAGAATGCAGTGCTGATCACTTTAAAACTTGGATGTCTGTGTAGTTTGTTGTGGAGGGGGAGTTTTCAGCTACTGCTCGGAAGGGAAAGCTTGCAAGTTTCAGCTGAGCAATGAAGATCACAAATTTTGGTTCGCTTGCTGCTAAACTGTATTTCCTCCTTTTTTCTTCATCTAACTTTTTTTTAATTTTATGAAAGAAAGAAAAAAATGCTCGAGACTGGTGAGGGACGGGTACTGTGAAAAGATTTAATTTAAATCTCTGGAAACCTGGATACATTCCAAGCAAAATACTATTATTCAGAGTTGGTGCTTGATCCAGTTTTTTTTCTACTTGAATGTATGCAGTGTGCATTCAAATAGGTAAACGTGTGTGTATGTGTACATGATTTGATTTTTATTTGTAACCTATAGAATTAGAACATAGACCTCCATTCAGTCTATGGAATGGTTTATTCTCCAGGCCAGCAAGTTGAAAGGAAGTGTAACATAATACATAAGTATTGGATCACTTAGCAGGCACGTGCACAGTATTTTCAAGGACACACGGAGTCCCTCTGTCAGTCTTTACAGAAGCTGCTTTCTGATGAACTATAAGGCACAGAAGGATTGAACTGCAGTACAAGTTTTTCCTGTCATGAGTGTTTTGACAAAACACATTCCTTTGGCATCTTTTGCATTCCAACCGAGCATAACGTAGGTGCTCTATTTGCTTAAGGCTTCTATACTTTATTGGGAGTTTTATGTTAAAATATATCACCCAAGCGCAGTCATTATTTTACGTGAAATACAGCTATACCTTTTTGGTTTGACTGGAATATGATTTGTGTAGTGAGCAATTCTCTGTCTGGAGCCTTATTTCCTATATTCAAGAAGTCAGAAATTACTGCTTATTGCAATACTGTGTCTATAAAATGCATTGACCCCTTTTGGAATTTTTCTTTTTTTTTTCTTGTCAACATAGGTTTTTTTTTTAACACATATAAAAGTAAAATTCTAAACAAAACATTAGGGTACACAATATAAAAGATGTTGACAATGTTTACATTAAGTCGTGTGCATCAATACGTGTCAACAGTACATTGGCGATTGAACAACACAAGACCTTGTAATTAATATGATCACATATACAATCGGATCCAAGGTCATGGAGAAGTGGCCCAACCAGGAAAGAAGAGAGGGAAGGAGGATGGTTTATTGCCATGGAACAATGAATCACCTTTGATACAATTTTTCCTGTCCCAATACGTTTTTATTGAAAAGGTTTTCAAGCATACAGAAGGGAATTTATCAGAACTGGAGCAGACAAAATCTGGAGCAGTTGTGCATGGCAGCCAATCAGCTTCTCTCTTTATTTTTAAATCTTAACTGAACAAATTGAAGAGAGAAGCAGACTGGTTGCCATGCTCCAGATTTTATAAATTCCCCTCACACTATAACAGACACATTTACGTGAATATATTAGTGCAAACACGGTATCAGAGAATAAGTCAAGACTTAGCAATGTGGCTTGGGGACCCATGTTACTACCATAAGGAGTAGTGCTATGGCTCTGAAGTCTGTCAAACACAGAAGAAGAAAAAACAGAATGAGCAATAAGAAAAGCATAAAAAGGAGAGAGGGTAGAGTCATAGAAGGGGGTGTAGGTGGGAAGGGGTAATGGGGAGAGGCAACTGGGGGTGGGTCCAAGCGTGCGTAGGGAGACCTCAGTTTGCCCTATTATTTCACACTGTCGAACATATGTAAAAATTGATGGGTCATGGGACTGGTGATTTGCTCATGGGCATGGGAGGGAATCCATAGCAAAGTCTCTACTGAGATGAGATGCATTTAAAAGGATATTTAGGAGACTTAGAGGGGAGGACCGGTCATAGAATGGTAGTCTGAAAGTTGAGCAGTTTGTGCAGCTGTGTAATAGTTTGTTGTAGGACCAACAGACTGCAGCGATGTCAAGGTTGGAATAGTATGTTCTGTTTTGCGCAAGGTTTGGAGTTGCCCTGAATGGAAATTATAAGTTGTTTCTGGACAATAGGAAATGTGTGTGATGGGATTTCAATAGGGTACACCCATAAAGGTTATAACGATTTAGGGAGAAAGGTCATTTTGATCGACACAGCCATAAGATGTGCTCTAGCCCCAATGTGCCCCAGCCATGGGATTTGATAATTTTTCTATGATTAGGTAATAGAAGTCACAGAAGGACAGGGTAATTAGCCACTTACAGAGTAAAGCAAGAAGGGGTTTATATAGACCCCAACACATGGTAATAATCTTGGTTCCTAATATAATTATAAAGAGATCTGAAGCAGAGATATTATGTCCTGGGGCAGCGATAGATTCAAAGTGTTGCATTTGTGGGCCTGAAATGTTGAAAGTTGTCCAGTAGCTTTTTGATTGCGGTTATGCATCATGATTTCCTCTAGGATCTCCCTGATTTTTGCTACCCTGTCAAAATCCCCCAGAGCCTGCAGGGAAGCATCACCACAGTGTTATGCTGCCCCCACCATGATTAATGGTGGGAATGGTTAATTTATGATGGTGTGCAGTGTTTGACTTACAACAAGGTGTTCAGTCCAATGACTAAAAGCAAAATTTCGTTCTTAGGATACCTTAAATCTTCTTCAAAATACCTTCAGGTTGTCTAAGGTACTTTCTGGAAAGCTGTAGGTGAGATGACATGTACGTTTTTAGTTTAGGGTGGCTTTCTTTTGCTGCTCTTCTAAAGCTGCGAGTGGTAAAGCACCTGAGTGACAGTTGTATGCATAGCTTCTCCAGGCTAAAACATTGGGCCTTGGAATTCCTTCAGTGTTGTCATAAAGTCTGTGGGTGGCTTAAGTCACTAGTGCCCTTTGTGCGCAGTAACTATATTTTAGTGGATGGTCTATTTGTTTTAGTTTACAGTTGTGTCACACTCTTTCCATTTCTTAATGATTGATCTAACTGTACTTCAAGGGATTCATCAGGTATACTAAAGGATGTGTATACTTACGCAGAGGTTTTTCTGCTTTTTCATTGTGATCTAATTCACTTTGCAGAGATGTGTTTTACAATTAACATTAAAGATTATAATTTTGTTTATTAGTATAAACCTCCACACCAAAAAAAAATTAATAAAAAAAATGGAATGGTATTGCCTGAAACGAAAACTTCACCCAAAGGGGTGGATACTTTCATAGGCACCGTTTATGTGTTTCGAAATGGTTAGGTTTTACTCAGACTTAAAGATTCTGAAAGTCGATGCATGTAAAAAGTTTGCTTTTCTAGTTTGGGATAGGATGAAGAGTTAAAACCTCTGTCAGCTATTTGTTGTGTACCCCATTAGAACAATCTCTCCAAAATGAGGGGAAACCTAGGAACATCAAGACTAACCCTTCCGTACAAACGCGCAAAAACGGTGCCGCCTAGGTGTGAACCAGGCCTAAAAGCTGCTTCATAATTGCCCTATGTATGATTGTATGGGTAAGGAAACCAGGAAGTAGATACTTGATGAATAGGAAAACATGGCTCTGGCATTTTAAGAGGCATGAAAGTTACAGGCAGTGGAAACAGGGGCATAACTGCCTGTTTAATAAATCCATGTGATGATATTGAAAATTTACATATTTTTTATAATATAAAATGGGTTTTATCCCAATTTTGGCTGCACGTTTGGAAATACACTTTAAGTCAATTGAGTGGAGGTCTTCAAAAGCTTACCACGGTATGCCTGAGGACATATGGCAACACAATGTGTGTTACCACATATGTTTTTAGCACATCTGGTAAAAACAAGCTCCAAGATGCATAAAAAAACTTTTACATGTCACACTCAGCTTTGTTTATCAGTCTAAGGAAAGATTTCGAATATGGTTCGAATATTCTCCACTACTTCACTGTATGAAGAAGGAATTAAAAGTTGGAAGTACAGTGGCGTAGTGGTTAGCGCTTCTGCCTTGCAGCACTGGGGGTCTCTGGTTCAAATCCCCAGGTCACTATCTGCAAGCAATTTGCATGTTCTTCCTGTGCTTGCGTGCAGGGGCGTCCCGAGGCTGGATGTCACCTGGGGCGGAGACCGGGTGACACCCCCGCCGTGACGTTATCGCGCATGCACGATGGTCTTATTGAAGCATGCCGGCGGCCATCTTGATGATGGACGCCGGCAGAGAGAGGAGGGGACGTTCATCCGGCGGGATAAGGTATGCCGCCGGGTCCCCTCCTCTCTCCTGACCCTGTCGGGCTCTCTGTCCGTGACCGAGTGCCCGACTTTTCATAGGTTGCGACACCAAAATGACTGTCAGTTATTTTGGTGTCACCCCTCTAATGGTGGGACCCGGGTGCGTGCCACACCCCCCATGTGATGCCACTGCTTGCGTGGGTTGCTTCCCACACTTTCAAAGACATACTGGTAGCTTAACTGGCTCCTGTCTAAATTATCCCTCATATGTATGCATGTGAAATGGGGATCTTGGATTGTAAGCTCCTTGAGGGCAGGGACTGATGTAAATGTGCAACTATGTAAAGCACTGTGTCAATTGTCGGCGCTATAGAAATAGCTGTAATAAATAAAAAGTGAGTTTGGTTGTTTTTCTGTGAAGACATGTTTAGGGTACCAAAAAAAAAAGCCATGCATGCTGCCATTGTGAGCCTCCATAAGCTAGTTACCTGGTTCACTCTGTTTTTAGTACAATTGATCACCTGACCAAACAATACAAAAATGAAATTGCTTATCCCTATACTTGTTGTAGGTAATTTACTTGCAAATTATTGAAGCTTAATAGCTA